CTTTTTGATTGTCAAATACATCTATTACAAGAACTACATAAAAATTTCAATGAATCTGGTAAAGCGGTTGATATGTATGATACTATTCCACCAAGTCATATGCCTCGAGGTTACGGAGGAGTGGGTATTCCCTGGAAACGTGGGTTTGACGATATAATTACTCCGCTGCAACTAGGAAATGAGAGAATTCAATGTATAGAAATCATAGGAAATCCCAATACTATATTTATATCTGTTTACCTGCCATGTAGGGGCTCTAATAACCCCTTTACTGAACTCAATGAATGTTTGGACCACCTCCATGAATTTTTTGAAACTTATAAAAACTCTTATCAATTGATAATAGGTGGAGACTTAATGAAAACATATACAGCTCAACAAATTATCAACGAAAAACAGCAATATCTGATTTTATGTCAGAACATAAACGTTCAACAGTTGAATGTGGAATTAATTTCATACATCCAAGTGCCCAAGCCATGTCTGCAATAGACTACTGTTTCAAGACAATTATAAGGCAAATGTTGTCAAGATTGAAACATAGGAATTAGATAGCAATGTCTCTGACCATATTCCACTGATGTTGTCATTGAAATATGATATATCCTATAAAAAGATGAAAGAATATACTAATACAAAAAACTCCAAAGTAAACTGGAATAAGCCCTTTATAGCTTACTGTTCGGTGTGAGCCAAGGCTCCGTGTTGAAGACCGTACTGTGACCTATAATGGTTTACGTTTATAAATTTTGATTTGGATGGAAAGTTGTCTCATTGGCACTCATACCACATCTTATTATATCTATAGACAAGAATGAATATAAAACTTTGCTCAATGAGTAATTAGAGAAAATTAAACCAGTATCAGAAAAATTGAATTTAGATCAAGCCTTTGATGAACTGAACCAAATAATATCAGATACAACCTCAAAAATTGCTCCAAGAAAACAAAAGGGGAAGAAAAAAAAGAAACTACCATTAATGAATGATGAAATTTTACAAGCTGTGAAAAAGAAGAAAATTGCCTTCTTCGTATGGAAACAACATGGTCAGCCAAAAGAACCTGATAACTTCTATCTTAAGGAAAAAAAACAATCACTAAATATGATCTCAGGAAACTATGTAGAAAAGAGCAAGCACTAGAAAGGATTAATGTTCGCCAACAAATCTTGGATGCTAAATCCAGTGATACTGCCTTATTTTATAAGCTAATTAGAAAACAGAGGGGTAAATTGGGTAGATTTATTGAAGACCTTATAGTAGAAAATGAAACATATCAAACATCTGACCGTGTAATGGAAGGATGGACAAAACATTTTGGAGATCTTGCCAAAAAATCTGACTATCAGAACTTTGATCCGAATCATTTAGAAGCAGTAGAAGATGAAACAAAACTAATTTTAAATATATGTTAGGAAAAGTATTCACATGAAAAAGTCTCAATCCAAGAATTGAAAAATGCTGTCAAAAACTTAAATACAAATAAAGATATGGACTATTATGGAATCACTGCTGAAAATTTCATTCACGCTAGTGAAACATTTCTAGAGTATCTACAACTTCTAATTAACACAAGTTTTGAACATTGCTACATACCTAAATTACTTAAAATTGGAACCCTTTTCTCTGTATTCAACAGCCGGAACTCGAACTCATGCTATTGGGATATCGAGACAACACCGCCTGCACTGTGTCCATCGCTCTAAACCACTCAGCCACCTAGACTGAACTAAAAATTCAGCTTTCGGTGGCCTAGTGTTACTTTTCCTCGTCAGTAGAATCTAGAGTTGTAACACAGTACATGATATATTAGGTATGAAGATGGAATTGATTGCAGATTAGCTAAATATCTATCGTAAAGGATCGTATGATACAGTCACAGAAATAATAATTTTGATAAGTACGTCTAAACAAGTGACAACTCCATCCATTGGATCACCACATTTTATATTCATAATTACTTTAAATATCAGCACAACAATGTTAAATCTGCAAATTCGCGGAAGCAAATTTGTGTTCTTCCCACGCCGGGATTCGAACTCATGCTTTCCAAAAGTTTTCTCTTCTCCTTCTTGCCGTGTTGTCAAACTCAGTGTTAATAATAATAATAATGTTACTTTCCAAATCATAGAAGTCAACACTGAGTGGGACACCACGGCGAGAAGGAGAAGAGAAAACTTTTGGATCCACCAGCTCCTCATTTTAGAACCTGATGGGCTTAATGAAAAAGACGAGAAAAGATACAGGAAAGATAAAGAATAATTTATTATACAGCATCGTCCTTTTTATCCTGTAATATTGGCCACTGGACGTTGCAAACTTCAACCATCAGTTTTGTAAATAAATTAATAATCTTGAACTTCATCCAAATTTTGAATTCTTTACAAGGCAGCGAAATTCATGTGCAATGAGCTGCAAAAGTTTCTTATCTACATCCGATTTCACCTGGATAGATGCACGCTCGATGAAGCTAGTTTGTCCAGCGAAATATTGCGTTTACTTTTTATCGCATTGTAAATATTTTTAACGTTCTAAGGTTTTCATACTAAACAGTGTGTTAAAATTACATTGTTAGGCAACTTATAATTTCATTTGTGTAATTGAATTAATCTTTGTACTTATTAATCCACACTCAAATAGATTTGTATGCTATGTGTTGCTATTTATAGGCACTTATATATTATATTACTATATAACATTAACGTTGTGTACAGTAGGTCAATTCCCACATCTTGAATTTATGATATGCCTGTCTCTAGTCAGAAATCTGTAATTCAGTTGTTGTCGTTTATACATCTAGCTGTTTGGCATACTTGTTTTTCGTTTTTTTGTTTTGTATATTAATCGGGCTGTTAGTTTTGTCGTTTGAATTGTGTTACATCTTATAATGTCAGAGCCTTTTATACGGAATATTCGTTTTCACCTGTTGCTAGGCAAATCCGAGCGAAAAATTAATAAAGTTCACTTTTTTATAAAATAATTTTGTGGTGTGGAATGTTCATTGCAATCCTGTCTTGGCAAAGATTATTATTTGTTAGTTCTTACCAGGCAAGAATCTTCCTTCTCAAAATTCTCCTACCATAAAATATCAAGTGGTCGTATTTTTGATGTTATTGGTACTTACTTTAGAAAGTCATATATAACATATATGCTGTTGAAGGTTGGTCTACATACATATGTACAGTAACAGAGAGGCCAAAGATACCAAAGGGACATTCAATCTCAGAAGTCAAGAAAAAACTGACAACACCATGGCCAAAAAAGAAATAAAGATCAAAAGCCTGTCCCAGGTTAGGAGGAGTGTTGAACGCTCAAAAACATGGAGCCTGTAGTACGGTGGTTGTTGTTGTTTCGTGTCTGTCATATTTGTTTTTCGTGAATTGTTTTATTATAAATTAGGCCGTTAATTTTTCTCAATTGAATTGTTTCATATTTTTCATGTCGGGGATTTTCATAGCCGACTATACGGTATGGTTTTTTTCCTTATTTTGAAGGCCGCTCGGTTGCCTTTAATTGCTTACATTCACTTCATTTGAACTTTGTTGGATAGTTGTCTCATTGGCAATCATACCACATCTCCTAATTTTTATATTAAAAAGACAAACAACTGTATACAAAACACAACATAGAAAAACTAAAGACCGAGCAACATGAAACCTATCAAAAACAGTAGTGATCTCAGGTGCTCCGGAAGAGTGAGCAGATTCTGCTGCACATGTGGTAACCGTTGTGTTACTCGTGTAATTACACAAACCCGGGGATAAGTCTAATTCGGTAGGTCACATTCGGGGAAAAGTAACACTCATTTATACCAATAACACAAAAGCGAGGAATCCAAGACATTTATGATATTCTTTATTCAAATAACGAACTGACAATGGTATTTTTAAACGATCTCTATAAAAATAGGTCTACAACTTAAGAAATATATTTTCTGGCTTCATAATTATGCTATCTCTCTGTTGTAAAGATATCGAAATCAATCAGATAAAAGAAACACGATATATATTTTCAAATGTACATTTACCAAATTTATTTGCATACTCATAATATAGTAATATTATTATATTCGTACTAATTTTTTGGGAGTAATTTGGAGAATTTAGTGTTCCTTACAGATCTTTCATTGTTTCTTTTTAATATATTCTAAAGTTTAAAGACGTGGGACGAATAAGAGCATATATAGCATATTGTGTATTAGTGAAGACTGCATGTTGCTCATTATGTATCTTTTTGTTTAAGTTATTGCAAGCCTATATTACTGCCTTATTGACGTGTACTCCACGTCACATTTTATTCCTCAATACAAATCAGAAGCGCCTGTTTCCGATGGCCTACTCTGGATATCAATACTAGAATTTGCAAAGATTTGAAATTGCTGTCGGTATCCAAATGTTTCGTATGTTCTATGACAAGCTAAGTCCATAATATCAAGTTGACTGTTGTCTTATAGACTGTACAATAACCTTTAGATATATTTCGGTTTAATTCTAATGTTTCGTTAGGTTGCTGTCTCATTACCCTTTTCCCTCCTTTACCCGTATAGAAGGAAATTAATACAAATCAAAGATATCTGTCTCTGATGGTGTACTCTGGATATCAATGCTCAGAGTATTCAAAGATATGATATCTAGTTGTCGGTAACCAAAAGTTTCGTAAGTCCTATGGCAATCTTTGTCAGTAATACTTAAATGCTCCTTGTTCATAGCTGTCCGCCACTTGTTGGCTATTAGGGTAGAATTTCCTGACTTTGTGTTAAAGTTGCCTTCATATCCGGTTCCGCTCTCCAATAGATGATGACGTATACTATTGTCTACTTTTGCCGTGAAAGGTAAATTAGAAAAGCTAAACAGTTTTCGGAAATTCCGTACTGGACTTTTTACCAGTGCTTCATATTTTAACATGAATATATTATTATAATAAGCTCTTTTTAGAATTTTTGTTGAGTTGAAGTCTAACATCATATCTTCACACAATTCTCTAGAGTGAACTTTGACTGACTTCTGATCAAGCAGTCCTGATTTTATTAACGAATGAATTTGAGCTCTAGGATCTCTAACGACATAAATAATTTTAAGATTATCACTTTTTCTCAAAATGTGTTCTATCGATTTCATTCTTTGTCGGACTACTTTCAATATTCATCTCGCCTTAGGTACACATACGCTCTCCATCATTTTAATACAAAATGGATATGGTGATTTTCGCAAACAAGCAAAGTACGACTTGGTGGCACGTGAGTGTATCAAATGGTTATTCTTCAGGTCTCCAATATTTATTTTCGTAAAATCACAGTTGAACCAGTGATTTAACATTTCGGTTTGTACTCTGGGTAGGTTTCCGTGCATAAAAATATTTCTGAAAAAAAAAAAAGAAAATAAATGTGAACAATTGAAACTTAAAGTAGGATTTTGGAAGTCAAAATAGAATCAAAATAGACTATATAGATAACCGTCGGATAATGTGAACATGACTCTGTATACAGAACTAGATTTAGGTAAATATAAAAATGAGGAGATGTGGTATGATTGCCAATGAGACTTTGTGTTACTCAAGTTCAAATGAAGTGGACGTAAGCAGTTATGGACAACCTTAAGGCCTTCAACAATGAAAGAAAACCTTACCGTACAGTCGGCTATAAAAGGCCCCGACATGAAATATCTGAAATAATTCAAACAAGAAAACTAACGGCTTAATCTATAACAAAACAATTTACGAAAAACAAATACGACAGACATACACCAACGACAACCCCTGAACTAAAGGCTCTTGACTTGGGACAGGCATATAAAGAATGTGGCGGGGTGAACATGTTTGTGAGCGCTCAACCCTCCCCTTACCTGGAATAGTGGGATAACAGCACAACATAAGAACAAAACATTAAAAATCAGTAGCAATTGGCTCAACTAAAAAAAAACTAACATAAAAACAATAGACACAAAGCACCGAAATAAGAGTACTTGCAGTTACTGAAAGGTAGGTCGAAGCCATATATGGCAAAATTCTAGGTACTTTATGCAAATGATTTGGAAAACGTTGCCTGGGCCCTTTTGATTAAATAATTTCCCGAAAATATAAATTATATCAAAATTACGGATAATCGAGTCTTTTTCCGTCATGGATGTAAAACTAACGTGTCTTTGAAAATTTCCGTTGGCGGATATTTACAAATATGTTGTGTAATTCTAATGGAAATGCTGAAAATTTTACTATTTACGAAATGTGAAGGATGAAATCATCATATCTTTGAAAGAATTTGGCCGAAAACTTAGGAAATCATGTAAGATAAAAGATGTTGAACCTGAAAATTCAGCCTTCAAGGTGTTTCTCTACATTCGAACAAATCATGAACAACCTCTTCTTGTACCTTTATTTCTATCTGGAATTTTGCTTTTTTACGATATTTCGTTATTTCATATAGCAATTATACTACAGCCACGCTTCCGATTTTCAAACTGAAAAGGCCGAAAGTTTTCAAGGTAGACAATGTTCATTTGTACACGAACAGAAGGAAAAAACCATGTTAATTTAACACCTATACATGTATGCGAAAAAAATTGTTAATCCGACCTAGGAATTGGCATATTCTCATTTTCATTTAAGGGCATGTATAATCCTATTGCAATGGCTGTCGTCATGATAAAGCAATATGGCCGCTATGCAAATTAACAAAGTACCTCAAATTTTGCCAAATAAATAACAGCTAATAAATAAATAATGGTAATATACTATGATTGAAATATGGTCATTCATTCCCCTAGAAAAAACTTCTTTTGTATTTATCGAAACGAAAAACGAGTTATATTTCTCAGTCACTTCCTTTTGAATACCGTACACATACTTGGCCTACTTCGATTCGTCCAACTCGGGTTAGTAGAGTCTCTCGACTTAAAATCGAACCCCCCGAGTTTGACCTTTTAAACCTACCTGAGTTAACTCGACATCAACCCTGGGTTGGGGCAGGTTTACTAGAGTTACAAAATGGCGACAAACAAGAACAGCAAAGAAAAGTATGATACAAATAACTTAAATTTTACAAAATACAGCCAGAGAAAGGGGCTGTTAGTCAAATTATTTTTTGTTTGCTTTTTGGAATGAAATAAATATTTTTCGTGTGTTAAAACTGTCGGTGATGTTTATAAATAGAGCAGAGAATTTTTTTTTTTTTACGTGAATTTGAGTTGCTAAGAGTAAGATGTGAATGTATTACGAAAATTCTATTCTCTTTACCTACAACAAGAGTTTTAAAATGAATGTAATGACCTGGGAAGACCTGGAAATTATTAAATGATAAAAGTTCCTTAATTTAATAATGTTACAAATTTGAACATAAAGTTGATTATTATCGACGTCTATAAAAAGAAAATTAACTACTGCTGCTATAATTATTCCACCATTTTGAAATCAACCCGAGAAGAGTTTTCACTTCGATTCGGGAAGGGTGCGCACATGCGCATTAACACTAATTTTATAACTCTAGTCAACCCGAGTTGGACGAAACGAAGTAGGCCCTTAAGGGTGAGAGCTTCTACACATGACAATCGTTTTGGTACAGACATTTCCTTACGTAGAAAATGGTGGATTAAACCTTGTTTTATAGGTGAATCAACATATACTTAAATCAGTTTTTAATATTTACTTTGTTTTTGTTTACATTTTTATCATAAGACATAAGTTATAGCTACATAAAGCAAATATTTCTTTAAAAATCAATCTATATATTTTATTTTATAATGCTTCAGATTTTGATTTGCTTATCCTTGCTGGTGAAATAAAGAAAAACACTTGTTCCTATCATGCAAAATGCACAAATACAATCCGATAAATCGATTATTAGATTTTCATCATATTTATATTGTAAAATATCAATATGCAGACAATCTGATAATCGGTACCTATCCCATGGGGCAGCGGGAGATAACGTGTTGAATGTCACCCCCACTTGCAGACCAATCAAAAATCGATAATTTAAGGGACAATGAATTGAAATTACATCAATAATTTTAAAAACAATTCTCAAGTTCAACGTTTTGGCCTCAGAACTTTTTTCAAAATAAATAAAAAAATATATCTTGCTTCACTTTTGTTGTTTTTCTAATGTACTGTCATGTACAAATGTATTACGACGTCATAGTAAAGTACTTTCAATTTAGAATTTAAAAGACAATAACGATAGAACATTCAGTATGATAAATTAGATAACACATAGCTCAGAGGGTGATAGAGAATATTGGTACTCCTCGAAAAAACAATGTCAATCTCTATTTCGCCTCTGTTGACAATGTTTTCTCGGGGTTTACCCTCTCAGCTATGTGTTATCTATATATTTTCCTCAAGTTAGAGATGTTCGTTCCTCTGTATCAAAATAACAAGATTTCTTAAAGACTATTTTAAATTGATGGCATATAAATAACGGAACTTAAAAAGCAGGGAAAAAATGAAAGGTCCGTGTCCTTGTTTTTGAGACATAATCAATTGAAAATATGGCGGGAAATGATTCTCTCTAGATTTTTCATAAATTAACATTGGCCCTTCAAAAACTATGAAAATATAACAAGGTTTTTATTAGATTTTCAAAAATGGATTTTTAAACTATATTTAATAAAACTATGAACAGAAAAGTAGGGGCTAGCAGGCACAATTTTTATTGGCACTTCATGGATGAAATTAAAGGATTCCGAATATCTGACAAAAAGTCAAAAACAGAAGTAACGAACATCCTTAATACTTGTTTAATTTCAAATTGTGTGCAGGAAATATAGGATGATGAAGCAATCAATTCCATTTCACATTTCCTTCTCTTCAACGAGTTTTCTTACAAAGGTCACGTTCATTCCGTGTGTTTGAAGGTGTTATGATCAAATAATTTGTGTGTGTGTGTGTGTGTGTGGTTTTGTTTTTGTTGTTGCTGTTGTTTTTTTTTGTGTTTTTTTTTTTGGCGTAGTCAGCACGGCTGATTTTACATATTAAAGTCCTGTTTTCAGTACATTTTAATCTTGCAAAATAACTGAGTCATTAATTCACAATATTAGGAAAAAACAAGGACTACACAATGTGTATACTTGTTAAGCACTATACAGGCAAAAGTACAAAAAATGCACGTAACTGTAAAATGGCGTGTGTGACATGTGGAGCTGTATCTGCTTACCCTTTCAGAGATCACCCCGGTTTTTCGTGAGCTTTGTGTTGCTCATTATTTAACTTGAATGTAGTTATTTGTATTTTTGTCTTTTATGGTTGTTCGTTTTTGTCATGATATTGTCGGTCTCTCTTCGACTAATTGGTTTTGATTATCTCTTTTGCTCTTTTTTAAGGTGTGAAAATAATGCAAAAATTTGAAAGTAATTAAATGGTACTAATAATATAATACATTGTCTATTCTTCTTGGTTATATCATTTAAAAAAGTACAACCGAGAGCCTTCTAGGCCAGGTGGGCTAAAAAGGGGAAGGGCAAACAAATTGTCCGGTCCCCAAAGTTCTGTATATATCACTGTTGTCAACAAAGACGATATCAATAAAAGATTATGGAATATCTACCTCACTGTTCCGTTATAAAAAGTTATGGGCATTTTTGCATAAGAACTTTCTGTTAGATTTCGTATAGGTTCGAAAAAATAAAAATTACTACTCGTTTGCGCCAGTGTATCCAATATCATTGTTGTTCCACCACGAACATAGCCGACAATTAATACACAGGTAACTTGTTTGCCAAAGTTGTCTGAAAAAAGAATATACATTATAAATATCAAGACATCTGGTACATTTATAATAAATAAACAAAAGAAGAAAATATGAAATGCAAACATTTAGAAATCAAATTAGAAAATCCTGTTATATTTTATCCCTGCATACATTTTCAACTTCAACAAGGGAACACCTTCCTATAAAAGCGTGTGAAAGAACGTCTATTTTTGTTTAACTTTTGTGTGCTATAGTGTTACATTAATTTTATTTATTTCCCTTTGCCGCCATATTAGAGGTCACATAAACAAGTTACTTCTTAAATAAATCAATTCACCTTGTTATACTGACCGCTACACTTAAGAAACATAGTTTTCTGAACAATTTTCATTTGTTTAAGCCATTGATTACTTCTATCTTGCGAAGGTCTTTTATCAGACTTTCTCATACCACATGTTTAAACTTGTTTATTCAAACAAAGAAAAAACGAAACAGTTTCCCCTCGAACATAGCGACCAAGGGAAATAGCACCTGACCAATTCAGTTTACGTAAATGGAAACCTATAGCGGAGGAGGCTATAGCTCTAAAATGAGCACGTTCCTTGATTTTCTAATTTGCTTCTAAATGTATGTAAATAAAATAAGATTCTTCACCTTTAACCATGTTATAATACACATTTATCTTCTTTGATATGAAGTAAAGACGAGGGTGTTTCCCATCTACGCATGCTTTAAATTTTACTCCCTTCAGTTGCATATTCGATAGTAGAGACGTTTTTCCTTTCTTTTTTATACCCCGCTTTAAAAAAGTGGGGGTATACTATTTTACCTCTGTCATCCGTTGCCCATCCGTCAGTCCGTCCGTCCGTCCGATGAATATTTTTCGTCGCATCTTTCTCAGGAACTACATCATAAGGATTTCTGAAATTTGGTTTCATGATTTATATAAATCAGCTATACCGAGTGATGCGTTTTCAGATTCATCATTCAACAACTTCCCGTTTACCGAACACTTACATATTTTTACACTATTAAAATTATCCAGTTGCGGCGGGGCTACATTGTATCATCAGTGAGCAGTAGCTCGCAGTTTCACTTGTTTTTATAGCTTTTACTCTAGATCTGTATGATACATCATTATTCCGATCTGTGTTTATCTAAAGCGACTTTTAATTATTCCCCTTGACTCTTCAATCCTAGTTCCATGGATTGTGTGTGTATACTTTGATGTCTTTAGTATTATATGTACCTGCATATCATATAAGATAATCTTATTTGTCGTTCTTAAATCGACTAAATTCAACTTGTTTTATTGACCGCTACACTTGAGAAAAAAGTTTGATGTTTGAACAATTTTCATTTGCTTAAAAAATGCGTCTATAAAAACAGCAAAAGTGTGAATAACATGTATATGCTATAAGATAATCTTAAAAGTTGGATATTAAGAGTATTCCTCTGACTTATAATCGTTTATTTAATTCAAATAGTAGATTGCACAAAACTACTAATAAATAATTACAACATTATTGTAAAGGTACCAACCAGGTAATGATTTTTCTTGCGTCCATTCTTCGTCATTTTTCACAATAAGAAAAGGCGATGTCCTATCAGTTACAACATCTTTTCTTACTTTTGACATTTTTCCTACATTTTGCTTTCGAAGTACATTAAGTCCTGTCAATATATCTAAGTTGTTTATTTTAAAAATAAAAATAAAATGGAGCAACGGGTGACACAAATAAAAAGCAAAAATAGCGTTCGACCAAAACTAAAACATAATAAGAAACAAAAGTCAAAGTAGTCATATTTTGTTGAAAGCAACGCAACATAAAATGTTACAGGCGGTACAATATCTTTTAACTATTTTTAAAATCTGGATTTCAGACAAATAATTTATACGTTTTATTTTGACTTTTTATTCGAAAATTAATTGCAATGAATTTTTTGTTTAATAATCCTTTAGAATATATCTTGAATTTTTGAAAAATTAAATACTAAGTACAAAAATACTTACTGAGAATCTGCATGTATATAAACGGAAAGTGTGTATAACTAAACATTCAATTTTAGTCTTAGATATACGTACCGTTACATCATTATCCCTGGTTAGGGACAGAGTTTGGCGCCAGCAAACATGTTCTGAATGTCATATTCTGAATGTCTGTTTTCTCGTTTGAATTGTTTTACAATTGTCATTTCGGGACCTGTTATAGCTTTCTGTGCGGTATGGGTATTTCTCTTCTTGAAAGTCGTACGGTTGCCTATAATTGCCTACATCCACTGAATTTGAACTCTTGTGAACAGTTGTCTCATTGGCAATGATACCACATCTTCTTTTTTTAAAAGAATAGAATATATCTCGCATTTTTTCAAAATTGAATACTTAGTACACATGTACTTACTGAAATATTGCATGTATATAAATATAAACGGAAAGTGTATATAACCAAACATTCAATTATGATAATGTATAAACGTTGTCATTATGATGTATCCCACACTCTTTTTATTTTGCTTTAAATATACTCTTTGTGGTTCAAAATGATATTACCAACTGTATTTGTGCATTGTTTTAAAACAGGCACCATTCTTTATTAGGTGTACTTATACAGCTTATAAGTGAGCACATCTTACCAACAAAGAAACTTTATAACGGGTACATGTGACACTACTGAATATTTATATCGCTAGTAAAATCTTCCGTGTTTTTTTTTTCAATCAATCAATCAATCAATCAATCAATCAATCAATCAATCATATTTACAGACAAAACGTAAAAAATACTCAAATATTTATACAACTCAATTCAATTCAATTCAATATTTTATTTAAGTCTCATCTCTCAATATTATATTATACAACATTACATTTAGTGTAAAAGTATATAGATATAAAAAAGAGAGCCATTCTGTACAGAATTATAAGAGACTATAATATTAAAAAATTATAAAAAAATTCGTCTATTATAAAACATATTTATAAGTACATTATTTACAGTATAAAACATTTCTACGTCTATCTAAAATAAAATAACAGGCTTTGGCACAGATAAGAATCATATTGGTATCTGTAAATAAAAACACTAATTTCTATTTATGACCAAAAGACATAAAATCAATATTAAAATGTTTTGCTTCATCAAATATTTTTTTTTTAAATCGCCATATGAACGACACGATAAAATAACATGGGCTTTATCTTCTAAAATATCTTTACAATAATCACAGACTCGCTCCTCTAAAAGTAATTTTCATATCTCCCCGTTTCGACTCTTAATGGTGCCACTCAACTTCGAAATTTGGTAAAAGAACTCCTTTGTAAAATTGGCATTGGAATTATACAATATGTTTCAGTTTCAAAACTGTTTTTAGATAAATTATATGTTCTAAGTTTGTTTCAACCTTTACCAGATAGAGCTTTCTCTGACTGTAAATTGCATTGACATTGATCAACATATTTACTAAACATTCTAGACATAATAATATTAACAACTGAGGTACTATCAACATATTCTGTAATGTTACACAAATATTCTACATAGTACTCAGAAAATGTTTTCCTTACATAAAAATTCCAATTTTTTATACACTTGTGTTTTCTACTCATAATGTCTGTCCATATGCAAACCTTTCTGTTTAACCGATTAGATCTCATATTGTTCAAACGGCACCATAGTCGAATTAAACATTGCCGTTATTTTTTAAAAATATGTATGCACCCCATATCACCTGAAACTGCAGCATTTGGAGTATATTTACCAACTCCAAGAAAAAATCTACTAGCTCTATTATGTATGGCATTGATAAAAGAAAAGTTTTTGCAACCCCAAATACCAGCCTCATATTTAACAATTGGGAGCACCAAACTTTCATATAGTTTTGAGAAGACATTATGAGTAACACCACCTAAAATTTTGCACTTAGCTATAACAAGACCAAGTGCTCTATTTGTCGAAACTGCAACAGCTTTAGCAGTAACATTATAATGTAAAAATTCACGCAAGGATGTACTAAGGTCAGGTTTATAAATTTTTGTCAGATGATCGGCTTTCTTGGGTTTTTTCCTACGATACAGGGTAAAATATTTTGCCCAAACACCCACTTTTCTTTTCATATATGGCTTCAATAGCTCATAAAAGGTCATTTACCAAAATTTAAGCAGATTCTAGATTTCTTTTCTTTCGATTTGAGACCCAAATAATACCAATGCTAAATATAAGGTAAAAGTCCGAGTCAGCCTATTCCCGCAATTTTTTTAAAATTAAATATCTCGAAAAGGAGCTCCATAACTTATAAAAATTTTGACCTTAATACATCCTTAAGTCCAGTGGGATATCAGAGAAGCAAGCGCTCATTGAAATGTAGGTTATTGAGTGACAGGACATCATCAATTGCATTAAATTAATGTAGATCTGAAGTGAAATTAATGAATTTTTAGAAGATGCTTATTTTTGTCTAACAGGTTTTGTATGAATTATACTTTATATGAACACAAAAACTAGTCGGGAAGTAGGGATGCACGATAAGTATATTGCTCCGAGCAGTATAAAATATTACGCAAGTTCGCGAGTGCAATATAATACATTTCCCGGGATAATCCTCAACATAAGTGCAATACCCCTTTTATGATATACTACAAAATATTTCTGCAAAATTGATGGTACTCTGTCTAATTTCTGCAGTGTCGATACCCGCAGTAAGGACGTAATCTCCATTTAAAGGTCATTACCAAAATTTAAGCAGATTCTAGATTTTTTTCTTACGATTTGAGACCCAAATAATACCAATACTAAATATAAGGTAACAGTTCGAGTCAGTCTTTTCCAGCTATTTAAAAAAAATCAAATATCACAAAAAGGAGTTCCATAACCTATCAATATTTTTAGCTTATTTTGTTCCTTAACTAATGCTCTTCTGACTTATAGTATCAATTTTGAATCTAGATTTTTATAATTTCACCTTACTACATCCTTAAAACTAGACCTAAATAAGTATAAGTAGTAGAGTATTCTATGATATTATTTCCACATTTAAATACAACATGTGACTCATTAACAGAATGTGTTCTATATTGCACAATATTACACTTTTTAGATTTAAAAGTCATACAATTATCTCCACAACATGTATCTAATGCGTTTAAATGAGTTTGTAAATCATGTAAACTAATAATTACTTACCTTTTGCTTCGTTATGTGTTAAATACATATAAAAATTTCCAAAAAAAAAAAAAAACACAATTTTCAAAAACATGCATGTCTTTATATTTGAAATTTTGCACAACAGTTTCTTCATATTCTTTAAAAGTAATATATTAAAACAACACACTTAAATGTTGTTAAATACCGACGATTAACAGCTCAGTAGTTTCTGTTTATAGTCGTAATTTTAAACAATAAGTTTCCCTCAACCGAATAAAACGTAACTCTTTAAATTACCATACGTCGTCAATATTTCATTTTGTAATCTAGTATCAAATATTTCATGTCGATTTCTTTTTCAATAAAAAAAATCATTTTTTGTCGATATTTCTTTTAGTATTCCTTTATAGATATACTTAAAACGATGAGTTAAAAAATCGCATCTTGGCCGATACTGTTTTCTATTCTTTCCCATTATAGTTTGGTACGCACTGTAGAGGCTCCGAATAAAACGATATTTGTATTCAACCAAAACTAAAGATAAAAAATAACATAAATGAAGATTACGTCCGTACTGCAGTCATCAACATTGCAGACATTGGACAGAGTATCATCAGTTTTTCTGAAACATTTTGTAGTATATCATAAAAGAGATATTGCACTTATTTTGAAGATTATCCCGATAAATGTAAAATATTGCACTCGCGAGATCGTGCAATATTTCATACTGCTCGGAGCAATATACTTATTGTGCACCCCTACTGCCCGACTAGTTTTTATGTTCCTATAAAGTATATTTCATAAAAAATCTGTCAGACAAACATAACCATCTTGTACAATTCTTTAATTTCACTTTCAGATATACATTGATGCAATTGATGATGTCCTGTCACTCAATAACCTACATTTTAGTGAGCGCTTGCTTCTCTGATATCCCACTGAACTTAAGGATGTATTAAGGTGAAATTAAAAAAAATCTAGAATTTAAAATTATACTATAAGTCAAAAGAGCATTAGTTAAGGAAAAAATAAGCTCAAAATTTTGATAGGTTATGGAGCTCCTTTTCGAGATATTTAATTTTTGAGAAAAATAGCGGGAATAGGCTGACTCGGACTTTTACCTTATATATGCATTGGTATTATTTGGGTCTCAAATCGAAAGAAAAGAAATCTATAATCTGCTTAAATTTTGGTAAATGACCTTTTATGAACTATTGAAGCCATATATGAAAAGAAAAAGTGTTATTGGGCAAAATATTTTTACCCTGTATCGTAGGAAAAAAACCAAGGAGTCCTTACATCTGACAAAAAATCCTACACTTGACCTAAGTACATCCTTAAGATTAAGGATACTACCGTAAATAGAAGGTGTGCTTAATATCGATCTTTTCTTCAATATTCAAAAAGATGGACGACCTAAAAATAGACACTTTTTAATTGTAAACTTCCCCTTTCGCAGCAGTACCATCTACAAAATAGCATACTGATGATGTCACTTTCACGACTAATGAGTTTGAATGTCCCTTTGATATCTTTTGCCTCTCTTCTATCCCATCGAACGTGAA